GTGCATAATTGTCACGTTTAAAGCTCGAATGTGATCAATGTGGATTAATCTTCCTTATCAAAGAGTTGTAAATTCTAAATTCTTTTTCAGTGACTTTATGGTTGATGATGAGCATTATGAGCTAATGGCATCGTATCGCGATGTTATTCCTTGTTCGATTCCATCAAAATCGATTTATGTGCATCATGGAGGATATTTAATCTTCGGTTTGTTCACTTCTCTCATACAGAACTGTTACAGAACAACCAGTCAGTCAACTTTTCCGATGGACCATTAAATGATTTCAGTGATCAAATGAATTTCAGATCCGTTAAGAGCCTACGGTAATCGTGATGATGTACTTATGAGTGTACAATTCCGTGCTGGCATTGATAATGGTCTCATAATGGGACTGATGACCAATAAAGATCCCGAAAATATTCGTGTTGCTGTTTATTTAATGGATGGCATTGTAAGTTTCTGTTAGATGCGGTCATCATAAGTTTTTAGTTGCATAGTATCGAGTGTATGATTGTCATGTTCAAAGCATATATTCATTTGGTGAAGTGTATGTTTACGGAAGTTTNAAATAAATAAATAAATATGCAAATATCATATTACTTCTATTTTGACTGAATTCGATGTGTGATACACTACAAGATTCGGCACTCTTGCAGACCACATTCGAGTTGGTGAACAGTGCGAAAAACCGTGATCTAAAGCATGTTTTTGGTGCGAATCTTTGTGACGGCGATTGGCATACGATTAGTGTTCATCTTTCTGCCGAGGACATCACGCTCACAATTGATGAGGTACGCTTTATTGCTCCATCAAAACCATTGCTGGCTGGCAATATGCTTTCAAACTCGGAAATTGGTCTCTGAAGGGATCGTAGTCTGACCAATTAACAATCCGATTTTCGAATAGAATCGTTCTGAAGTGAACAGTATCATGGAACCACTGCTCGTCCGTCTAATTTATTCACAGCCAGCGTTTTCTATTTTAAGTGTGTTTTCAATTCTGACTCTACAATTGATCATGGAATTTCTTTGACATTTCAGAAGAGAACGCGTTTACCAACGAAGACAACTGCCCAATCAATCGCACTGTTTAGAAGTCTTCCGGTTAATATCGGTGGCGTTGCGAGTTCGTTTTGATTCATCTCAAATTTTTTTTCAAATTTGAATTTTCAATCAAGGAATGCCAAACTTGATCCTGTTTAGAATTTATTTCTTCAAAAAATTTTTTCTGAACCAATTTCATTCTAGAAATCTCATAAAATAAGAAAATGAGTTTATGATATACTTCTAAAAAGATTCGAATATTGCAGCATCTATTGTGAATGTTTATTTTCAGCATCAACGGCTGAGAAGATTGGTACAACTTCAATGATGGGCTGTTTCCGACAGTTAAAACTTTCCGGACATAGTGTTCCTCTGAAAAAGGCGAAGAAGACGAGCAAAGTGGCTGTCAATGCGTGTCCTTATATGAGTTAGATGAA